AAACAAAAAAGAACGAACAAAAACAGGCCGCGTGTGACCGGCCTCAAGCAGTTGTCCCCTGGGCTCTGCGGTCACGCAACCAACTTCCACGGTGTGGGCAGCCGGGAAGTAACAATCGCCCTCACAATCCGAAATGCACACGAAACCTCTCTATTACTCACTCATCTTTGTCTTCATCTTCATCTCTATCATCTTGCCTTCCTTCCACTGATGCAACTCCTCGACTTGATAGCTCTCCACTTCCTCTCCACTCTGCGTCCACTAAAAACGATGGAAGCCAAAAAACCACCACCGACAGCCTCTTAAAGCCGCGCCACCAATTTCATATAGGAGCTCTTAATGTTAGGACACTTTGCCAAATAGGACAACAAGCATCACTAGCCAAGACCCTGGCATCACGAGCCATTGATGTATGCTGTGTTTCAGAAACACGCATACAAGACCCAAGTGTGGTTATTCACCTAACCCCACCTGGCCAACAGGTTGAATCTGCAAAATTCACCCTGAGGGTGTCAGGAGATGCCACAGCTAGTTCACGAGGATTAGCTGGCGTAGGGATAGCTTTGAGTACTAGGGCAGAAAAGACATTGCTTGACTGGATCCCGGTAGATAGCCGAATGTGTGCTGTCCGCCTGAACGGATCAGTAAGAAGGAGGAAGGACTGCACTACTCGCCGATGCCTTTTCGTAATCTCCGCCTACGCCCCCACTGACTGCAGTTCAGATGAAACGAAGGATGAGTTCTACCAAAAGCTGTCTAGTTTGGTGGAAAGGCTAAACGCTCAGACATAGTCGTTCTAGCTGGTGACTTTAACGCTCAAGTAGGGAAATTGTGTCAATCTGAGAAGGATGTCGGTGGCACCTATGGAGCTCCGTGCCAGCGAACCGACAACGGTGACCGTCTCCTACAGTTCTGCTCTGATAATCATTTGTTTCTTGTAAGCACTAACTTTAAACACAAGGAGAGACACTGTTTGACTTGGAGACCCCCTTCATCAAACCAACGCTGGACACAAATAGACCACATAGCAATAAGCTATCGTTGGCGTGGGTCGGTAGGAGATTGTCGCTCCTTCTGGAACACGTGCGTAGATACCGACCATGCACTGGTCCGCGCTCGGGTGTGCTTACGACTGAACGGACGTAGGAAACAGCTGGCGGTAAAACCATCACGTCCCCAGCTCGATCAGGAAACTAAATCCGTATTTCAGGAAGAACTAGCTAAACACATATCTGTGTTCGACAGCTGTGCTCACCCTGAAGAAGCTTGGAAAAATATCCAGGCAGCCATAGATACAGCTGTAAAAGCTGTGAATAAGGTAAACCCAAAGGTGAGTAAAAACCACTGGATCTCCACCGCCTCATCCGAACTGATAGATGCTAGAAGACTTATTCCGGCGAGCTCCGAATTCAATGAGGAGCGAAAGCTGCACAAGAGGAAACTTACGAAAAGTCTCCGCAAGGACCGTGAACAGTGGTGGGCGACAAAAGCCAAAGAGATGGAGAAAGCTTGAGGATAGGCAACACCAGGCAACTCTTTGGACTCATCAGGGAAACGGGTGGGAGAAGACAAATCATTAGTGAGACAATCTCGGAAAAAAATGGCACTATAATTAGCTCCAGGATAGACGACTGGATCGTTGGAAAGAGCATTATGAGGAGCAGTTTAATTTGCCCACAGCCACGCTCAACCTTCCGAGCATCCAACACCTCCCTGAATGGGATATAAACACAGGTCCTCCGTCACTAACTGAGGTTACTAAAGCTGTCACCAATCTGAAACTAGGCAAAGCAGCGGGACCTGATGGAATGACTCCAGAGGTATTTAAGTACGGTGGAGACAGCTTACTGTCCGGATTAACTGAGGTACTAGGCAGCGTCTGGGAATCAGAAGAAGTCCCATCGGGTTGGTGTAAGTCACTGATTATCCCCATATACAAGAAGGGAGACAAGTCTTCCTGTGATAATCACAGAGGGATTAGCTTGACTAATATAGTATCTAAAGTCTTAGGCTCAATAATCATGCGTAGACTGAGTGGTGCTCGGGAAGCACAAACACGAGAGAGCCAGGCAGGCTTTAGACCAGGAAGAGGGTGTATTGATCACATCTTCACCCTCCGACAGATTCTAGAACATAGGCATTCCTACCGGCGTCCAACAGTCATTATATTTCTTGACCTAAAGGCAGCATCCGACTCTGTCGATCGGGAAGTTCTCTGGAGATGCTTGGCTGTAAAGGGAATTCCAAGAAAATATATTGCACTGATTAAGGCACTCTATTCGTACTCATACAGCCAGGTGAGGGCTTACGGCGAGATGTCATCTGAACTGATGACGACCAGTGGTGTCCGTCAAGGATGCCCATTATCTCCTTTTCTATTCAACTTCATCATAGATGTTTTAATGGACTTAACCCTAGGTGACTTCAGTGACTCAGGAATTGACTTGCTACCGGGGAATAATCTCGTTGACTTAGAATATGCAGACGATATAGTCCTTCTAGGCGAAGACGCTGACGAAATGCAGAGTTTTCTAAACACCTTGAGCCGCAATCTACGAATGTTTGGCATGCGATTCGCTCCCGCCAAATGTAAGATGATGTTACAGGACTGGACTACATCGACGCCTAGTTTGAAAATAGGAAGTGAAGTGGTAGAGCACGTTGACCGCTTCACTTATTTGGGAAGTACCATCAGCCCCAACGGGCTGATCTCTGACGAAATCTCAGCACGAATACAAGGGGCTCGTTTCGCATTTGTTAGTTTACGCCGACTCTGGCGTAGACGAGATGTTCGACTATCGACCAAAGGGCGGGTGTACTGCTCATCAGTCCGCTCCGTCCTCCTTTATGGTTGTGAGACCTGGCCACTGAGAGTGGAAGACATGAAAAGACCAGCTGTCTTTGATCATAGGTGCCTGCGTTCTATTTCCCGTGTTAAGTGGCATAATAAGGTGAGCAACATTGAGGTTAGGTGTAGAGTTCTAGGTAAACAGGGGAAATCAATCGACGAAGTCGTGAAGCTACAAAGACTGAGATGGTTAGGACATGTGTTACGTATGCCAAGCCATCGCCTCCCTCGACGAGCAATGTTAGCGGATATAGGGTCAGGCTGGAAAAAAGCTAGCGGCGGTCAAACAAAAACTTGGCATCAGTCAATGAAATCCACAACAGTTGGTCTAAGCCACGTAGAAAGGTGTAGACTTCCAGGCTGGGGTCCTCGGGACGGTAAAAATCTATGGTTGGAAACAATTGGTGACATGGCTCAAAATCGTTCTCAGTGGCGCAGATGCATCCACTCCCTGTGACTTATGATCTTCAATGAAACTGTTTTGTATTTCTTTATTACTCCTTTGTCTCACACCTCCGCTCACTGTTTCTATTATGCTTTTCTTGTACTTTCTTCTCTTGCTTCGCGTGCTACACGGAATGTGGCGACTTGAACTTCCGCACATTTGTGCAAAGTTCTATGTCGAAAACAGACAGACAGAGACAGACTTTACTTCTGGGTATCTTTCACCTTGTATCTCCTCAGGTAAAACTAGAAGTCTTTTCAGAAGACTTTATGCACGTACGCCTAGGTATAAAAATTCCACGATACCATATTTGGTGGCACGTATTTTATGGGATGAATATAATGTGTCAGGGACGAACTGACTAACCTTCTTCGCACTAGTAAATAAACCATTTTCTCCATCCTCATTCCACCAAGCTTTATTGTCACTGTTCTTCTTATATTTATAATCCTCTCAAGGTTTTTTTAATTTTCCCATAAGTGTAAACATCCTTTAGACTGTGTAATAACTGTTATTTTTTGTCTTTCCCTTCACCATGCGATATCAACAGAACACTAGACTCAATAATCTACAACATGCTAAAATTTCCAACCTGAATCGACAGTACTGTTTGAAACAAAATCACTGTTATTATCACTATTATCATACTGACTATTCTCATTTTGTACATCGAATATTTTTGGCTTTATATCGTAAATGTGGACAAAGTCCTGCGGCTAATTTTACTTATATTTTGAGCGAATCAGATGCAGTATTGTGACAAATGCTGAGAATTCTGTTCTGTATAATAAGTACTGTTTTTGGAATAGAGTAGATTACTGTTACTTTTATTACTAGTTAGTCTATCTTATATGTTGTTTTTCGCGATGAAGCTAATCATACACCTCTGCAGTCAGATAGCATCTTTTCTTTCAATCTGAGTGCCACATAGGGCTTCCAACACTGAAGTTCCAGTTGTAGGCTGGAGTTTCCAGCCTCACTTCCAATCTTTCCACTTCTATCAGCCTACTACAGGTTGGGCAAGGTTTCGCAGTGTCAGCTGCACACAGAACTCGGACTATGTCAGTGAATGACAGGTATTCTACACCTGAACCTCCAACACGCAGATCATGTATCACTAACCGTCATGTTTGTACACAGACGCATGATTAATGAGGAGTACCACTGCTATTCATAAATGCCACGGATATTTTAGAAGGTTATAACATAATCATCGACAGACAGCCGGACAACTAGATAACAGTGCCAACAATAACAATATCTAAACAGTCTCATATATGTACATGAAACAATTCATCAGTCTGTCAATTTCATATGTGTTCACAATTCCATCTTATCAGTCTTTTGATTCAGAGAAAACCATATCACATGATGGGCGTAAATCAGTCACATACAGTCTAGCATGCAGTCGACGAATACACATTCGAGCCTCATCCATCACTGCCCAACATTTTTGTACTCTTGGTCACTTTCTCTCTCTCTCTCTCTCTCTCATACACACACTCTTATTGGAAATACACGTTGACAACCCTACTATGTGAGTCCTCTGGATTTCAATAGTTCACGTGAGGGAATAATTGACCAGGTGATTAATTTATCAATCATTCCCATATCGACAATCATCATTCAGCGATATTATACGGAAATGCAGTAAAACCACTGTGGAACAGTACTGCGCATAAGAACAGGATTATATAACAACAACATCAACAACAACAACGACAATATATAATACAACAAGCGCATTAACAGAGAACAGCACACATAATGACAATATAATTGTCATTTTATGCAGCGCTTTTGTTTGTATCAACCTTCTCGTTCGGCATCATGTCTCTGAAATAACAAAAAAACAAGGAGAAATACAAAAGTAACCGTTGGACATACATACACACATGGCATTAAAAAGGAAATGTAGCTAATTATTTTAGAGGGGAGTGACTTTCTACCAGTAGGTGAGTAACAACTTCCACACTCACTTTATTATCCGCCAAAGTTCAGGCAACAAGTGTAGCAACTACTTTCGTAATAGAGGCTTATTTATAAAAATGACATTCCAAAGACTTCATAAAAAGTTATTTAAAATGACTAGATAAGGATGTATCGATACCTGTTGCTGGGAATTGGGTTAGCACATCGGCGATTCATTACCGCAGGGAAACATATGATGAGATAAAGTGAATCCTTAACGGTCATGATATACGAGTGAATTTTCGTGTAGCTAACACGTTACGCTCATCACTGGTGACCGTCAAGGATAAAATAGAAGAAGCCAACAGAACCAGAAACCAATAGAATTGTGTGTACCAGATCAGTTGTGGAGACTGTGACGCCGTATATGTACCAAAAACTTCCATACATTTAAATATGGTCTGGTCTGGATTCAACATAGAACTTGGCATCGAAGTGCAGCAGTTCGAGTTGCCACGTTCCAAATAGCACACAAAGGTAGACAAGAAGATGAATGAAGAGAACCAATAGAGTTTGACAAGTCTAAGAGTGAAACAGAATGAATAATGGTAGAAAGGAATATGAAAGATTACAGAGACTGAATACATCTGCGCCATTGACAACGATTTTGAGTCATGTCACCTACTCTCTCCAGCCATTGATTCCTAGAGTCCCGAGGACCCCAACCCGGAAGTCTGCATCTCCCTACCTGCCTCAGTTTAACTGTCAAGGATTTCATGGATTGATGCCATGTTTTTGTTCGACCACCACTTACGCTTTTCCAACCGGCACCTATATCAGCTAGTAATGCCCGCCGCAGGAGGCGATGGTTAGGCATGTGCAGCACGTGACCTAGCCATCTCAATCTAAACTTTATAGCCTCGTCGATTGATTTTCCCTCTTTGCCCAACACTCTACACCTAACGTCAACATTACTTACCTTATTATACCACCTAACGTGAGAAAGAGATCGTAGACATCTATGATCAAAAACAGTCAACCTTTTCATTACCTTAAACTCGTATTGGCCATGTTTCAGAGCCATAGAGAAGGACCGAGCGGACTTCTGAGCAGTACACACGCCCTTCAGTTGATAGCCAGATGTCACGCATACGCCAGAGATGGTGTACGTCAGCGAAAGCAGCTCGAGCTTTTACATTTAAATATATGAGTGAAAGCATAAAAAATGTCTAAAGGTGGTTCAAATAAATCTCTGCAGACTTAAAGAGCTAGAAAACAGATCACCGACTGCGCTGAACTCGACAGAAACGAGTCACAAAATACACGTTGACAGGCACAGAAAGGTTTGGACTCGCATAGAGAAAGACTGACTGCAGTAAGCCTACGTATATGGGTGAATCCCAACAGTTTGGACACACGTGAGGGTGTGATGTTAGCTGATACATGGAAAGTCCTGATTAATAAATAAAAACAGATGCTTTCATTTCTTTACGTTACCAGTGGAACATAGGGCTTCAAGCTGGAGGCTTGAAGTTTCTGTAGCAGTGGTGATTGTATTTTTTACAGGATGGGGTTGCTAGCCTCATGTCCAACCTCCCCTCTTTATCAGTCTTACTACTGGCTTGGTGAGGTGAAGGAGTGAATCGGTCGAGGATCAAACCTCGGACCACGTGCTTGTGATGGGTGTGCACTCTGTGTATGTTAATAAGTGGAAATGTAACTCCACAATATACTTTTGCTGTGGAGTTTACGCTGGACCAAGAAGAAGTCTCTGGAATACTTGGACTCTGTGCATGATTTATATATAATTTCACTGAAACTGGAATAACTACACACAGAAACAAAAAACCCTGCTTTATTAACCTATATTGCTTGTTTTAGAAACCAAAAAGATGGAATAAGAGTTTGGAGGCAAAAAATGTGAGAGATAGCAAAGATTGCTAATAACGGACAACAACAACAAGTACCAATTAGTATGGACAATCCCCTCTTAGCATGCACCACAGCAACATCTCAACTAAGGTCACGGATAGGGATGTTCGGTGTTTGTGAGGAACACCTCAACCGCATGAAGTTAGTGCACAGGACTTATCTGGTAGAAACTATGAACGAGTGGCACATGAGAGCATCTCGATAAGAAGACCGAAGTCTACCCACCTTCAGTCGGTTATATGGGTGTATACGAAATGATCTTATAAAATTGCAATAGAATATTGGTTAGGAGTAGGATAGATATGGAAATATTACCACCACAACTATCAGTAGACAGAAACTCTTTCAATGGTTTTCTAAAGTAAAAAAGAAATTTTTTAGATCTGATGTTCTGCATGTCATATCAGTGAGCCACGTAGAAAGGTGTAGACTGCCTGGTGGTGGTTCTCGGAATTCTGAGAACCAATGGCTGGAGACTTTTGATGATATGGCCTCAAATCGTACTCAGTGGTGCCGACTCATTCACTCTCTGTGATCTCTCAGATCCATCAAGTCCTCGTGTTTCTCATGTCACTATTCTTCCTCCTTCTGCCGATTATGAATATTTTAAAATCTTTTCCTCTACCTTTGTGTATGGAATGTAACAATTTGAAGTGCTTCAATCTCTGTTCAGAGTTCTTTGCTCAGTCAGTTATGTCAATGTGAAAACAGTCCAATAGTATTTCAGGAATAACATTAGTGGGTTATAATAAAACGATCCAGGGAATACTGGACAGCTATTTCGCACTAGTTTGGGACTCACCGGCGGTATCCACTCACCCACTTTCTTATTATTAGTCTGATGCTCACTAGTAACTGGTTACAAGACGGAGCTTCCTGGAGTTCTAGTGAGAATTCGTGACCAGTTGGAACCATCCATTCGAAAGTGAGGACAAATACTCGCCAGCAATGACACTCGTTGATAGTCACGCTAAAATCACGAATTGGTAGAAGTTAGAATTCATGGGCCAATGAGTCAGACCCCAGCAGTTGAATGGTCTACGAGCTTGTCTTGTAATTGGAAGCTCCTGAGTTCGAAATCCGGTGGCTTCGTACTGCCAATGAGTCTCGGATTAGGACGAAACAGCTTTCCAGTTACTGTCTGGTTTTCAATGCTTCTCTAACCGATATCAATCCGTTGTCAAACTTGAAACCAAGTCAAATCCCTATAAACCAACTCTAGAAAATAAAACAATGATTATTATTTAAAATAAACTGAGAATATTAAGTAGATATTCTTTTCTCTCTTCATTCCTTTCCTCCTCTATTGAATATATATATATATATATATATATATATATATATATATATATATATTGTGCTGTATGCATCTCTACTTTCAACTCACTGGAGTAAATCTACGCCTGAGAATCTCTAGTCTTCTTCGTAATTCCCTTACACGTGCTTCCTGTTGGCGTATATCATCATCAGTCACAATGAATGTCTAAATGGAACAGAAAAGTGACAATAACGAAAAGACAAAAAAAGAATAATCATTGAATGTTGTTACTATAATTATAATGATATAAACACCACGCGTTGGTGGTTGTTCATTGGTAGAATGCTTACCAATCACACAAGTGGTTCGAGATCCACTCCTAGATGACGCGCTCCGTTTAACGTTGGTTAGCCGGTAGTAAGCTCGTTAAAGAGGAAAGCCTGGATATGAAACTAGCAACTCCACCCCCTCATAGAAACAACACTAGATCAAGTTTGAAGTCCTACGTTCCACTTGGGAAGTAAACGAATGAAGAAGAATTATATTAACACTTTACGCCTTAAAAGATATGAGCTGATATCATAGACATAGATGCATGTACAGTGTACCTTATGTTATATTTAAATATAACTGACTAACCTACTATAAATTTATAGGGTTGAAATAACAGTTACACAGAACTTGTCAGGAACACTAGTAGTAATAATAATAATAATCTTATTATTCAACTGTTCAGGTAACCAACAAACAATCTCGTCGACTGACAGCATGTAGATGATATACCTTAACCCTTTAAGTGAAAACGTCGACAAAAGGCAAAATGGTCTACGAGCTACATCGATTAAATTTGCTAGGACACGTGTCACACATATCAGATTACCGCCTTCCCCGAAGAGCAATGTTAGCTGACACAGGATTGAGTTGGAAAAAAGTTTCGGCTGGTCAAATAAAAACTTGACGTCAATGTGTGGAATCTTTGACTGTTCATTTGAAGCGTGTAGCAAGGTGTAGACAGCCTGGTTGGGACCTGGAGGATGCTAAGAACCAATGGCCAGAGACTATCGATGATACGGTCCAAATTGTCACACAAATTTACTTTTTGTAATCGCCGAATCCTCTTGTTTCTCCGCTTAACTATTCTTTCTTATGCATAATTATTTTGAATTGTTTTCATTTTTCTTTACCTATATAGGGTAGGAAAACTTGAGCTGGTGCAGTTCTGTCTTGATTTGACTATCCCTAAGCTCTTTCCAATCTAGTCCTATTTGTAAAAAGCTGGTAACTAATCATGGGCAACGCATCACCCACTAACCGATAGTCAAGAATGATTCACAACCACAGGAAAACTTATAATAATTGTAATAACAGGATTGTTTCTTCATACTAGACTAGTTACTTACTTTAATCATTGGTTGCGAGGGATTTATCGTGGCACATGGATCATTCTCAATATCTGAGAGATCTTGTTCCTGACCAATGACTGGAGTATTTTCATTTGTCAAGGCATGAACTAAACTTTGAACTAATTGAGAAGGTTGATAACCAGGTACTCCAGCACCTAGAAATGGAACCGGGGGGGGGGAGGAGGGGAGAAAAACAAAAAAGCGAAAATTCAAAGATTATTACAAATTATTGTGTGCATCACCAAGTGAACATGTGGTCTGGGGTTCTATTCGCTGCCGACACACTCGTAAACAACCCCAAGCCCGTAAATAAGCCCGATAAATAAGGCAGGCTGAGTGTCAAGCTAGCAATCCCAAGCAATAAAAAATAAAACCGCTACCTGAAGTCATATATTCCACTCGGGATGCGGAGGAATAAAACAACATAAAAAATAATGTCAATAATAACAATACGAATTAATCCATAAAACTTACTCTGAATTCCGCTGGGCAAAGAGATTGGTTTAAACGGTTCACCAGTTTCAGCATCAACGGCCACATTACCAGCCAGTCGTTTCTCCCAAAATAACTATAAGAAATATGACGGTAATTCTAAAGTTGAAGGAATAATGTACGCACTTGACGAGGTGCTTCTTGATTCCCATCCTCCCCATCTATTCGTTTACATACCGGATGAGATCGGACCATAACAGGTTGAATTTCATGTATTGGATATGGACATCGTCTCATTGAAAGCAAAGACCGATTATCTACACGTGGGATTTGTAGTAAGAGAGGAGAAAATGGAACATATAAACACCATTAGAAAATTTGTGTACCTTTAGCTGAGGAAGCGTCTGTTGCCTGTTCCCCAGATTGCTTAGATCGACGATTCAGCGTGAATTTTCCCAATCTCCAATCGAACAAACCAACATCATAATTGTCGCCTAGGATGGTTTGCATTTCGCGTTTGCTACGAACAATTTGGTTTTGAGGACTACGAAAAAAGGGGGAATAAGGAAATAGAAACAAAGATTACCTAATGTAGTAAACATATGATTTCCCGGTGCACAAACCTTTTGGTCGCATACGTTCTTCACGCCTCCAACCCGGTGGTAATGATGACGGCCATACTTGTTGTTGCTGCTGCTGTTGAGACTGATGGTGTTGCTGTTGTGATTGACCAGGCGATAGCGTTTGACCTTTATTGTAAGCTGAATATGAGCCACGTTTTGCTGGGCTGCTTAGCTGATTTGTAGTCGATGTTTGATTCTGCATTGAAGAATTCTGTGGTGAAAAGATAAAGATAAATACAAATAGGATTGAGCTGGAAACGAGTTAGGAACGGTCGAACTAAAACCTGGCATTAGTCCATGGAGAATTCGACCGTTGGTTTAAGCCAGGCACGTAGAGAGGTGTAAGCTTACCGGTTGGAGTCCCCAGAATGTTAAGAATCAATGGCTAGAGACCGCCAGTAATATGACTCAAACGGGTTTTTTGATGGTGCAGATGAACTCATACTTTTTGATCTCCAGTATCCACTAAACATTCATTTTTCTACTATTCGTCATCCTTCATATTCCTGCTCATTACAATTGTTTTGAATCTCTTTCCTCTGCCTTTGTGTCATATGTGAGCGGTGTGGTAAATTGAAGTGCTTCACCTCTCTGCAAAATTCTATGTTGAAACTCAAACAAACAAGTGGAAATATTTAACCAGCTTTGGTCATTTTAGACTATACGCCTACAGAAAATCTCTCTCACCAGATCAACTAAACATTATTTTGGTTCCTCAGCTTTCTCTTGTATTACTTGAACTAGGAGATGTGATTGATTGACACACGAGCCCAGTTTGCCGCCAAAGGGTCACAACTTTTACTCCTGCTCCATCTAATTTAGCCTGCCAGAGATTGGATAGCATCATCAGCCTTTGTACGATAAATGACTCTTAGTCTCACGTATCAATGTTGTGTATCGGGTAAGTGAATTCAGTTGAGAGTTGGATTTGACCCTGTGATAAAAGCGCTGCATTCTCCGTACAACTTATTATTCAGTTTATTGAACAATAAACCTTTCACGGTATAATAACTACCAGATATGAGACAATTGAGCTAATGTTTTGATTATACTGCATTTGGCTTCTTAAAATTTAAAAATGGATAAAATTTGTAACTGGTGTCATTCAACTTAAACTAGATGCTACTACCCTGACGTGGTGACCACACCTTTATACTCATACTACGATGACACAACCACCTATACTAGCAGGAACGATTACTTCTGGAAGTTTCACTGTGCTGAAGAGATCAGTTGAGTAGGAGTAGAACTGAAAGCCTACACACTTGGTTTTCCTACCTTCTTTAAAATTTCGTTACTTTATTTCACTGGCGACACTGTTTTTCTTACTATTCCTTCATCAATTAACTTTGAGACCACTGCTAATGCCTTAGGCCAAGGGAAGATTTCTTATCCCTTTAAAACAACACAACCAACCTCACAATGAGGCTTTCAATGTATGAACCATATATCAAATAAAAAATCAGACCCCACCAGCTTCTAATACAACGTCTTGCGCTATGGAAACACATCGCATTTGTGAAATATACATACAAGGAACTAAAAAGTCAGCAACGACTCCGCCCCATACAGTCCAACAAGTGTACTTGTGGAACTGACCATAAGAGTACTGTATTTTTGGGCAAAGATACTACAAGCTGTTGGAGAGAAAAATTAAGGCCCCCTAGCTCCATGTGCTATGTCACTAAATGGATATCTAGGAAAGAGGCGAGTATCCGCGTGAACAACCTCTGCTTGTAGTTTGCATCAATCAAAAAGGACGATGACCAATCCCTTCCTGAATTATCTGTGTACATTTCGATTAAACATTATTTCTTCAGCAAATCGATTGAAGGAAGTCAAGTAAGTAGGCCCAAAACCCCTGCATGCCCGACTAATGGATGAAAACGTTAAGCCTGTATTTAGTGACTTGATAGTGATATTTATCTAAAAGATGCCCAACACCGTTTCTAGTCTGTCTTTAAAAAACAGAAGACAGTAAATAACCCTCAGCAAAATATCAACTTAAGTTCATTATGAACCGTTTGGTAAAAGGAGTGATTTGCCTGGGTATTTGAAAGCTAACTGATCGGAATTTCCCATGAAGACCTCCAGCAGTGGTGATAAACACCAAAGAATTGGGAGAAACTTCAACACTGGGCAGTTAACATCAAACACTCCGGCTTATCAAGAAGGCAAGTTCCACCAAAACTATAATTTGGAAAATAATATTCGAAAATAGTGTGCTTTAGAAGCTGATATTTTTGATTCTTTCCTATAAACAATATGAAACCAGAACAGTGGGGTTGCTGATCATTCTATGTAAAAGCTATACAGTTCTGTTTAACAACAATACGACTTTGCCGCCAGACTTAACGTCCTACTATCAGTAATTCAAAGCTTAATAGCAAACTCTATTCTACCAAACTCCCTACCACTAGGAGGGAAGATTTCAAATAAATGCCCATGACACAATACTCACTGACTGTAGTGTGACATAGTTTGTAATGATCAAGAAAGACCACTGTTGACAAATCCTCTGAGAGACAAGAATGATGGATATGTGTACTGGAAATTCCAAGCAGAAATTAAACAGGATATCTATTAGGCTTTAAGAATTAGCTTCCACAGTTGGAAGACTAATTTTAATTGCACAAATGATCTACTGTACAACTATCCACTACTAACATTAGTCACCTTCAGAACTATAGAGGTGAATAATTTCGAACCTGATTATCCTACCTTTTTCTTTGAAAATTGATCTTTTCTTATTATTCTCGAGCTTTACCATTGAATTGGTTACTCCCATTATCTCACAAATTTCTACAAATTAGAAATTGTATACATACCTTCTTAAATGGCTAAAAGCAGTATGTTTATTCCAGCTGTATCGATGCCTAACCGAACGGCAGTTAAAAGGAAAAGTGAGTTTGGATATTATATCTTGGTAGTTACTGGCTTCTTATATTTGATTACGAAACCTCGTCATAATTAAAAGTGAGCAAAGACCGATTAAATTTTCAGATCTAATAACTGAGGATAGAAGGCTTGAGATCTATGTTAATTGTTTCCTAATAACTTCCTATGATTGCCTAGGCATATCTTGAATGAGTCGATTGAGGACAATGAAACTTTTTCTGCGAGTCAGTAGTTCCAGAAGTTTAATGACTCGGAGTTAGAACTGATATCCCACAGAGATACAGTCCCTCCTTGATTTATGGAACTTTCCTGCTATGTCCTCTGGGGTGTTCCGACCTAATAGGGAGTAAAAGAGAAAACAGATTAGGCCTGTCGTCATTACTTAAAATTTTAAACATTGTGATGAGAACTCGATGTCTACGGTAGGACAAGGAGGAGCGATTCAAACTGTCTAGTATTTCAACCTATAATGAATTGGTCATACTGAGAATCATACATGTTGCCTTCTTTTGGATCGTTTCTAGAATACGAGTTCCCCTTAAAACAGACTGGATACCTGATTACAGTATTTCGGTCTTGACGTCATCAGAGGTATATGCAAAGAAGTGAACATATCTCTGGCGATTTTAGTAAAACCTATGTGTTGCCCATAAGGATCTGAAACTTCCAGCTGCCACCACAATATGCTGCAGTTTCTAATTCGTGGCATTACGACACCTAGATCCACGTAAGTTTGAATTGATGGGAGGGTCATTCCCTCCAGTTCGTATGAGGTGACTATAGCGCATCCAATTCGGACCAGTCTAACAATTTGATGAGATTCCATTATGGATAAGATTTTATTTTGATAATCACACAGTGTTGTACAGTTATATTAGCTGATGACGTTTCGAGTACAAACTGTTGCTCATAATCATATCCAGTAACTCACACAACTTTTTTCTAATCGATTCCACACATGTATATAAATGAAAGAAAAAAGTGTGTTACTTGATATGATTATGAGCAACAGTTTGTGCTCGAAACGTCATCAGTTAATATAACTGTACAACACTGTGTGATTATCAAAATAAAGTCTTATCCATAATGGAGTTATACTCTACCACAGTGCCCAAGTTTTATACTTAAATCAATTTGTTGAGATCGTGCAACGTGAGTATCATTACCACCCTTCAGCTCACTCCAAATTGTTAAGTCATACATAAAGGATCACAAGGGATTCGCTGAGCAAAGGTAACATCGATATACAAACAAATGAGAACAACGTAATTACAGTGCCTTATGGCACTCTATTATGTACCACTGTCCAAGAGGAGAGTTCGGAGTTGATCCTGATTATATTCATGTGTGAGGGATTGCCTAATCCAGTTGTCCTTGATTTCAAGACTCCGATTTCATGGGCAGCCTTATGTGAGGTACTTTGTCGAAAGCCTTGCTGAAGTCTATGAAAAAGAAGTCGATGGGCCATATTGTTCCTTGACTTGACCTAGCTTTCTCGTGCTGTAAGGTTTGTCGATGTCTTGGTTAACACTGACTTAGTCTATCCTGTAAACCTCTGACGCTTCCAAAGCTGATGCTGTGAGTGACGACTACTGGTCCTCTTTGATTGTATCGTTGCCAACAGTCAGGTTTGGGACCCCGTTGGATGCTTCGATCATCAAATTCATGTATAAAATTTTTTTAGGTTGTGGCGTTGCATTTTGAACTTCATCTCTGATTGGCAGATTTCCGACAACAGCTTTGTTCCTTGCCATGATGCATAACTTTCTTGTCTCAGAAGTCCCAAATGTGATAAACAGGTTCTACCACTTGTATTTTCGCCTGAGTAAACTGCGACTGTCTTGGTTTATTCATAGGGGACAATATTTTCGGCCCTTTCGAACATACCAAGGGGTGAAAGATTCGGTTATCTGAGCGTAAAGTTGCTTAAAGTGTTCCCATGCAGCTTCTACGTGAGACTGGATTTATGTGCCAGTCCAGCGGTTTGGCTACTGATACGATGGCATTCATATCATTTATGGTATTGGTCAAGCTGGAGTTTCGGCCCATGAAGGTGAATACTGTGAGATCACTTCTTCCTAAAGGAGGACGATGTATGAGGTTTACATACTCACCATGGGAGAAAACCAGGTCTAAGGCTGCGAGTCATAGCGTGTGGGCTTTGTGACATGCTGGAGTAGAGCTAGCGAAACACTACATTCCAACAGTTCATAGTCAAAGGATTTGTCCGAAGATGGAGTCGCAAAACTCGTCCAGTAAACTTTTAGGGCGTTGAAATCGCCGACTACAAGACTTCGACACCCAGATGGCCATGCCCCTAGCTTCCTTATTAGGAAGTCGTCTACACCGCAGTCGGGACTGTGGTGTATATTAAGGAGGCCAATATCTTGGCTTACGCAGAGCAGAAGTTCGCAAATTCCACTTTCGTGTGCGAGAGCTTCAATGCAGCCCACGATTAGGCATTTTTGCGATAGCTAACATCACTACCTCAACTGCTTAGTCGATCCGCCCTATGGATTATGTAGTTTGGGAAGTTAAATTCGTTGTCGGCGACAGCTGATGTCGGCTATATTTCCGAAGTCACAATGATATCCTGGTTTCTGGTGTCTATCGTACTAGTCAGCCCAGTCAAATTATTTAACAGGCTGTGGCCATTAGTATATCGAACTTTTAACTCAATCTGGTGCTCCCACGTTCCACCCACAGAGGTTTCGGAATTACCAAGCCTCAAACGTTTACAAGTTGAAAACCTCTAATGGTTAGTTTATTCTCACTCTTGGCTTAACACTTGAGCTTCACACTTTTGATGCGGTCTGCTAGGCATAAGCGAGCACATGCGTTGATACCCAGTCCATTAAGTCGGAATGTTGCTTAGTCTAGCATCTTTCTCAGTTTTTGAATTCAATGAGACTGAGAAGGTGCATCCACTTATTTGCTGTAGTCAACGTTTTCACCAGTTCTGCATATGCTATGAATGGCTACATCAGTTGTTGTTGTTGGCAACAGCTTGTCCAAGGTTGGTTATGTTCAAACCTGGCATCGCGGTCTGAAGCCAAAAATCCTTCAACTTCTTGAAGGATGAGCGACCACTCCAAGAGATCAGGTCTACTTGGAAGGGATTTCTCGCTCTGCGTAATAGCGTCTTCCATCCTTCAGAGACAGTACGACTTCTACAGGACCTATGTATCACTTTTCTAGACTGAATTACGCTACTCACAGGCGCTCTCTTCGCCGTCTGACTATCCACTTGCGCTATGGGTGAAGCTAGATATGCAAGTTGATATAAGTATAATACTTGGGCATTGTGGTAGAGTATAACTCCATTATGGGTAAGATTTTACTTTGATATATCACACAGTGTTGTACAGTTATGTGAGTGACTTGATATGATTATGAGCAATAGTTTGTGCTCGAAACGTCATCAGTTAATACAACTGTACAATACTGTGTGATTATCAAAATAAAATCTTATCCATAATGGAGTTAGGTATGCAAGTATTGGGGTGACCCTACTACGCCTTTTTCTCAACGCAAGTGAACTGGAGTTAGTCTCCCAGAGTCAAAGCTTATGGTCTATTAGGGACGGAGCGATGCACGCTTTTCTGTGGTACTGGAGCTATACAGTCGAAAAATCATGTAACACAACCCTAAATAAAAAATGCAGTGAAGACGCTAGTCTTGAACTTCACCAAAACTAATACGACTTCTCTTGACGACAGAAAATTAAACATGTTCATAAAAGTATAAGAAGCTACATTACTACGTGAATCAGCTGACCACGAACCTCGGTAGCACACAAGACCATAAAGTTTGCACGGGGTACCTTCAATATCCAATGCCTCAGTCTGTCGTTCTGGATCACGGTTTCGTCACATTGCACCATTGACACCCCAGGCTCTCCAGTATACTTGATAGAACAGTGCATATCGATTATGACATAGTATATCTAATCACTTTCTTGCTACAGCTCTGTTTAGTTCTGGATGGTTCACTGGTAGTCTGCTTCCCATCAAGGTAGGGATGAAAGAATCAGAAGAATATGAGCATAAGTACTCATCCACAATCAGAAGTAGAAGAAAACCCTTGCGAAATTAATTAGTTTTCTCAAGTCGGATAATTTCCTGGACAGATAAATGGTGATGCCGTTGTCGTCTGTAGGCATTCACATTGTTACGTTTGACTGTTATATTAAGGTGTTTCATAGATTTCCTACTTGTTAAGGACATCTTTCCGTCTGCTTGTCATTAACCTAGGGAAGATTCCCTAAGATTACTTCTCCTCATGCAAGAGACACACGTTAAGTTCCTCCGTAAGTGTCAACCCAATTTAAAATCAGTTTCTCTTTTAGTATGCTAACCTGCCACTATTCACCCCAAGAAAACTAAAGCGTTAATGGTTAGCTAATAGTCCCAGCATTATGAAAACAGCGATGACAGAAAATGAAGTCGATCTGCCGACCAGAACCCGTCACAGTCAGTCGGAATGCCTGTTTGTATGTGGAATGCAGATTGCCACACTAGTTGGATTTAGAACAGACATGAGAAAATATATGCCTGTCCGCACAAATACTGATGTAAGAAACACATACATGGATTACAAGATTGTGGATCTAATGTTTATGACATCAGAAAATGGTATAGCTGGTGAAGGTGTTGACTTTCATGGAAAGTACGAAGTGACCTAACGCTAGATTAAATACCCACAAATTACATAGTGTCCGTTCCACATGGACCAAAGGCAAAGCAAACGTTTCAGAATATCATCACCCACATCCTTTGCAGTCGAGTAGGTAGGCGTCTTGCTATTACTTCTAGGATAAAACTCGAGTTGAGGTCACTCATGCAATTCATCGAAATCAATGCGTTCTTGTAAGTCAACAGATTATTCAGAAACTCAGTAATTGCCTTGTAGTCATCTTGTAGTTGACTACCATTACTCTCAACAGCCTCGAATAATTTCCCTACAATCATCGAAGGTCTTCCAAGCCTTTGACGTAGTATGCTCATGGCCTCATAGTACCCCTCTTTTGACTTCATAAACCTACAGCACTGTATAGCTCTTGAAGCAACTCCAGTGCAATACCTCATCAAATACATCAATTTCAATTCATCACTTAATAGAAAACTACTCAGCATATTCTCAAACCACTTTACAAATTTCAAATAATCAACCGGGTTTCCATCGAAACACCGTGGTTCAAATTTAGGGAGTTTGATGTTCCTATTATCCCTGAACGGCGAAACAGTAACATCAACCATGTCATTCTTGACATCAGACACATCGTTACAATTAACAGACAAGTCACCATGACTTACTTTCCTGTTTGCTTCCAAGACGCTCTGTCCCTTCTTTGACCCAGGCATTGTTGAACTTGACCCAATTCCAAAAATGTTCCAGATATTGCTTGTTCAAAGAGGACTTGACCGGCACCAGGAAAGATGAACGGTGACTATCTTAACTGTCGCCAACTGTTCGAAACCGTCAAAAACTGACGCTGTACCGTTAGAAACTCTCAGCCACGTCTCATAAACCGTTAATGCCCAGCTCTTGCTACGCTGGGCCTAACGCTGTTCCTTGAATTTTCTCAGAAACGCTTAGTACTAACGGACGCAAAAACCAAAACACCGATTGGCCGCTTGGGGATTATTTATTGTAACACCAACATATAAAAAATGTTTCCACTAAGGTCTGTGAACAAATATTACAATAATAAATCACAATATTACTTCTGACGGTTGTCTCCTGACTTCTTTCTGAACAGCGACCGATGAGACGATGACTGTCGTATTGATGCCTCCGCGAAAATTGGGGAAGTTGGTTTTGAGCAAACAACCATGAATTGATCGTTCAATCTTCAACTACATTGACAGTCGTTGTTCAGAAAGAAGTCAGGAGACAACCGTCAGAAGTAATATTGTGATTTATTATTGTAATATTTGTTCATAGACCTTAGTTTTTAAGCTTAGTTTTAAAGTTGGCTATATGTTGGTGTTATAATAAAGAATTCCCAAGCGGCCAATCGGTGTTTTGGTTTTTGCGTCCGTTAGTACTAAGCGTTTCTGAGAAAATTCAAGGAACAGCGTTAGGCCCAGCGTAGCAAGAGTTGGGCATTAACGGTTTATGAGACGTGGCTGAGAGTTTCTAACGGTACAGCGTCAGTTTTTGACGGTTTCGAACAGTTGGCGACAGTTAAGATAGTCACCGTTCATCTTTCCTGGTGCCGGTCAAGTCCTCTTTGAACAAGCAATATCTGGAACATTTTTGGAATTGGGTCAAGTTCAACAATGCCTGGGTCAAAGAAGGGACAGAGCGTCTTGGAAGCAAACAGGAAAGTAAGTCATGGTGACTTGTCTGTTAATTGTAACGATGTGTCTGATGTCAAGAATGACATGGTTGATGTTACTGTTTCGCCGTTCAGGGATAATAGGAACATCAAACTCCCTAAATTTGAACCACGGTGTTTCGATGGAAACCCGGTTGATTATTTGAAATTTGTAAAGTGGTTTGAGAATATGCTGAGTAGTTTTCTATTAAGTGATGAATTGAAATTGATGTATTTGATGAGGTATTGCACTGGAGTTGCTTCAAGAGCTATACAGTGCTGTAGGTTTATGAAGTCAAAAGAGGGGTACTATGAGGCCATGAGCATACTACGTCAAAGGCTTGGAAGACCTTCGATGATTGTAGGGAAATTATTCGAGGCTGTTGAGAGTAATGGTAGTCAACTACAAGATGACTACAAGGCAATTACTGAGTTTCTGAATAATCTGTTGACTTACAAGAATACCTCGATTTCTATGAATTGCATGAATGAACTCAACTCGAGTTTTATCCTAGAAGTAATTGCGAGACGCCTACCTACTCGACTGCAAAGGAAGTGGGTGAAGATAAGCTCCCGTATGGGGGATGAAGATATCGAGCCAAAATTTGATGATATCCTGAAACTGGTAAATACTAGTGTCAATCAATCTATGAGGAAGTTTGCCAGTCGATTACATCTCACCCCTAGAATAGAGCAGTCTGAGGGTAAAATGCAATCATTGATGACGAATAGGACTCAGAGAGGTGGATATCGAGAAGGCTCCATGATGTCTAGTAATGCATATAGACCTGGTGAGTGTAACAGGTTTCGTAGTACATCGTCAACAGATAAGTTGCAAGATGCAAGACAAGCACGATTGTGTTTTACACGTTTGCGAGAGGTGCATACAAAGGTGAACTGTGAACCAGTAAGCAAGTTCAGTGATAAGCTAAATGTGAAATCTAGGTCTGACTCCGAATTGTGTAACGATAACGGTGCGGTCAAGAAGTCTGTAGTTGCAACTGGTAGGCCATTGTTGAATAGAGTGTCACAGAATAGAGTTGCTGCTTCAGAGTCCAGTTCTGACCCTAAAAGTTTACAAGGTATTACAAGTCAGAGTGAAGTTATAAAACATATAAGGATTTGCAAAGAGGAACAAAAATGGTCTACTTCAGTTATTAAAGAATTTGAAAATAATAATAATAATAATAATAATAATAATAGTATATTCTCATTTTGTACATGAGAGACGCCAGTTTACAGGCATCATCAATATGATAAATTACATATACGATTAGCAATCATAATTAATAATAATGTTTTAATAAAATACACATTTTTTTCCTACTTGTGTAGGACACACCAAATATACAGGCATGGATAAGCATTATATAAATTTCATAAATTTGGTTTATAGTTAAATTACATGGTTGCTGACGTTTCTGTCTTTGGTTTGTGGGAACAATATGATAACCAGTCATTCAATGGAGCACATCATGAAATATAGGAGTATTGACTTCGCATTAACAAAAAAACCCAAGTTTTAGAAGGATTAAAAATACTTGGGAAAAAATAAAGCTTGAAGTAATTCCGAATCTCATTTTTGATTTATATCCAAATTGGGAAATAAGAACGAATCGTGACGTTGTATTACAAATTGATACCTTTCCATTGGTATAAGAGTATATTCCACAAATGTAATCCAGGTTGCGTCGTGGGGAAAGTTAATTCGTTATTAACCAGGCAACTGAAAGATACGGGACCAATAATGTTTGCAGATCATTTGTCATTGTAAATGGTCAAATATCCACATTATTCATTCTCATTCAAAAAGTCAAATGGAAGCTGAAATGGTGAGAGAAAAAAGAAGACAAACAACAGCAACGCAAAAGAAAGCAAGAGGAGTCCTTAAGGAGTGATTAATAAATATATACATATATATTCTGTTTAGTAACTATGCTTATTTTTTTTCATTAACTAACTAGTCCCGTTATGCTAACTTTTATATTATGTGTGAACTAATATTACTGTCCTGTGTAGAAATGTTTATCATCTAGTTCCAATAATATTAAAATTTATAATTGTAGTTTGTTGTAACTACACGTTTAAAGAACTTAAAATATCTATGTAGGGTGAAAAAGAGGGTGTAAGAGTCAGGCGCAAAAGTGCATTGTCATCTTTGAGCAGTCTGGTGACTGAGGAGATGAACACTGGAAGTGTGTTTGCATCGCGCACATTAGCTGGTAGTCTATTCCAAATGACTGAAAACTTATTTAAGAAGAAGTTGTACCGCACGTAAGTCTGACAGTGCTCTATAGCAGCTAGGTTGTGATGATTTCTAAGATTGTAACTGATGACAGTGTTAGGTTTAGTTATTGGCTCGGAGGAATGCAAGAGAAGATTAGTTAGCTTATAGTAAAAGATAAGGTTTAGCTTAAGGCGTCTTTTCCAGAGGGGTTCTAATCTTAGTCTTTCGCATCGCTCATGGTATTCCAGACCACTTTCTAA